GACAATTGTTACAACAGATAGGTATATAGAGTCTGACCCTCTCCTTAATTTCTCATAAATACATTGTAGCCATAATATTAAAATTAATGCGTGATTAAAGGGAATTTTTTTTTAAAGCTCGTTCAAATTCAAACTACATGATTTAAAAAGAGCCGACACAAGAAATTGCATGGTCTCGTATGGAACGATTTTGCAGGTTTTTTTTTATAAAGGGATCCTTTTTGTTCCTCAACAACTTAAATTGCGCAAGGGGGGCATAATTTTTGTCGACCGTGGTTTTGAATTATTCGTTCATTGTGTATATTTATTTAGTTATTTAATTAAAATTAATTATAAAATTAAATCAATTTTTTGTAGCATAAATAAAATGATTTGATATTTATACTCTTGTTGTAGAATAGCATAGCGTTTGGAATTATGTTCGTGATCAAATTTTACTAATCTGTTATATTAATATCATCGATGCGCATTCTAATTAGAATAAATGCGCACGAGTAATTACGTAACTTCTCCATTCGAAAAATTAAAATCATCCATTTTTAAAGTTTATATTGTGGAATTAGATTTGATATAAGTTTCAACTACAAAGTTGAATAATCTTACTTTGTTATTTATTAACTTTTAACTCTATTTGTGTGTTTCACAACCTGTCTATAACAATCTAACTTTTTGGTAACATGTTACTGTATAAATCATTTAAAAAAAAAATTATTTTGGGTTTCACATAAATTTTACAATGGAATCTTACAATTATAATCAATTTTTATAATACGTTATATTGAGTAAATTTTTCAATTGATTGTTTTTTTTTTAGTTTCGATGCGATACTAAAAAGTTATTGGTCTTGTTATTCTGATTGTGTTTTTTTTATATTTGTCCATAAAAATTCTTAGCTCTCACTGAACCCATTTTGATGATCAATACGTTAAATAAACCAATTTTAATTTAGTTGAACTAATAGTCATCAAATACTAAAAAAATCTCTTAATTATAGAAATTTAGACAAATATAAACACAATAAATAGAAAATTTTTTGAAGATATAAAAAATTGTTTTGTTTAGATGGATACATGGATATATTGATTTATATTACTATTAACAGTAAATTAATAAAAAAAAAGCCTAAAATTTCTATAAAATCACATATTATATTTTTTGTATTTGTATTGTAACAAATCATTTCAATAGAAATACTAATTATTTCTATGAAACTCTTGATGTTTATAGAGATGCTATAATCGCAATATTGAAAACTATATTCTGTATAGTTATACCCTACAGTTTTTAAACTAATTAGTAATAATAACAAAATAATAGCAAATTTTAAATCATTGATATTTATATTTCATGAGTTACAAATATATAAGATAATATTAATAAATAATTTAAAAAGTATCGTTATTCAAGCATCCCTGGTGGGGATCGAACCCACGACCTTTGGATTAGAAGTCCAACGCGCTATCCTCTGCGCTACAGGGACCATACGACCAACTTAATATAAATACATGATTTATTGCAAATTTATTATTGAAGAAATTTATCCATAAATATATTTTTTATAAATAATATCTAAACTAGTCATTATTTGAAAATGATCTACTTTTAAACTTATTTAATACTAACTAATGTTCTTTTAACTGTTTGTAAATGCTGTGACTAAAAACGAAAATTGCTTGGAGCATTCAATTTGTAAACATACAATAACAGTAATTATAGTTCTTTACCTATTTTCATCCAAAGTTGTATAAGCTACCATTAGCGTATTAAGAGAAGGTTTAAAAGATATTTTTTTGGAGGTGGATTTCTTTATTTGTGATAGTATGAAAACTATTTTTAAGGAGAGGATTTTTTTTAGAAAATTATAATTTTATATCTAAATAATTTTTAAAACAAAAAATAAATTATATTTTTATGATAAATACTAGATAATTATGATAACTAGGCTGACCCCTCATTTCTTTGTTTAAAAGCATTAACTTTCAGATTTTTTCCGAAATTGTATAAGTATACTTATACAATTAATTATACTATATATAATTAAACTACTATAATAGTTAATATTTGAAGACGTTAGTGCAATTACGTAATAGTTTCAATTTTCCAGAAAAGAAAAAACTTGAAATTTTTTGGAACTTCTTATTACATCCTTATTACGAATTTTTTTTACATGAAATAAAAAATAATTGGTGGAGGATTTTGTATTCTAATCCTCTATAATCTATAGCCTAGGGTTATATTTCTTTATAACCTACAGCTTTAGATTATGGTTGATAAACCACCGACTCGAAAACACCTCAATGGTCGGGGTACCCAGTATTTTCGCCTAAGTGGACACGACTTGCTTTTACTTAAACAAAGGACACAATATTCTGACAACACAAATGTAAATTTTATTATAACGAAATACAATATTACACAAACTATAGTTAACTGGTTTGTATGCAACCTGGTTACTTCAAATTCCCCGTAGACCAAGACCAGACACGCTTCTCCACACCATATACTCGTGGATGGGCATCCAAATCCACCTTTGATATTTAAGTGACGATCACGGAACTCTAGTTGTGGGCTTTCAAGTTGAGGCACTCACCGTCCGTCATAGGATCGTCCCAGCATAGGTGCCAAACACATACTCGCCGGACGCCACGACGCGCAACAATTTCGATCGCGTTTACCGGTTGTATACAAGTGGCGCTACAAATGATCGGCGGCCAAACAATGGTTACTATGCAACATATACCTTTCATAGTATAAAAACAGGCACAAGTCTGAGCATTAATGCGTTAAAACGTTAAAATGATTTAAATTTAGTAACTTCAATCTTCAAAATCTTTCATAGCAGTAATTATAGTTTATATATATATATATTTGTAAGTCTTACACACCCATAGAGTTTGCTATTAATAACACACCGAAAACCCGATTTGAATCTATTATTGTTATCACTCATTTAGTGCGCCGTAGATTATTATAGCTAATTTACCTGTTATAACTTGATCGATAAAATTTGGTTTATGCAACATAAACAAAAATAATGACTTCTGTATTTAATACAGTAAAATAACAATAGAAAATTGGACTAAAATCACTTAACTGTATAAAGCTTTAACGGATGAACGGTTAATCGAAAAAAAAAAAATTGTATTAACCAAGTTGTTTGTAATTTTTTTTTTATCATATTATAAAATTAAAAATTAGGGTTCCCATTTAAGAAAATTATAAATAAGGGTTATTATCCCTGAAGGGACGAAAATAATAATGATTTGACTACATATTAATGTAGAGATTTTTGAACTTGATATTTTATCTCTTTAAAATAATTTGAAATTCTCAATAGTTTCTGAGAAAATAAGTGTCTTACCAGATTTTGATCACTCTGTATATATATATATATATTGATCTATGATATGTTATTGTTTTTTCTGATAAGCTGTTCGTCGAGACTTGTAGGTGGTGGTAGTCATGTGGCCTATTGTTAATTTTATAATAAAGTGGTGATTGATGTCATATATTTATTTTAATGAATTACTTAGAACGTGTAGTGAAGTTAGTATTAAAAATTTGGAAGTACTAAATAATATGTTATCAACTTGTTTATTTATAATTAAAAAAAAATAAAAAAGTTGATTACATCAAATTTAAAAATTAAAAAAAAAATTTCCAGTTTCTTTTAACTCAATGTATTTTATCCAAAATCAACTAAACTTAAATAAATTGTTAACTTTCCCAGCCTTGATAGTATACATAAAAATAAAATTATGATTATATAATGTAAATTAATAGATGATATTTAAATAAATTATATTTTTAAACTTGTGTTATGTAAACATGTATACTGAGAGAATTTTAAATTAAAGCTCTCTTAAGTTTATTAAATTAATGAACGTTAATATATCTTATTTTAACTTAAAATTTTAAAATTCGAAAATAATTTTTTTGTATTATATATTTAATTTTTAATGTATTTGAATAAGGTTGTTTTAACAATGTGACCATGTGGTCCCTGTAGCGCAGAGGATAGCGCGTTGGACTTCTAATCCAAAGGTCGTGGGTTCGATCCCCACCAGGGATGGAACTTCCATAAATTTTTTGCTCTTTTTAAAATTTTTTTTTAAGGAAAATCATTATATTTATCATATTATACCTAGAATTTGGAACCTTAACATTAATTTTGATGAAATATTCAAATAGAAATGATTTTTAATCAATTTAATTGATGTAAGTAATTTATCGAGAGTATTAATAAATAGTATTAAACGTGACAATTATTAAAATGTTGATTTATTATAATGGAAATTTCTATTTCTTCTTTTCTAATATATATTATTCAAATATTTATTATAAAATACAAAATTATCTTATTTAGCAGTAGGTATCAAACAAAAAACGGAAAATCTCTTCAGAATAATAATGTTAACTTATTACGTTATTTACTTGTTATTTTTGTTAAATAGCCATTGTATTTTAATCTATTCATGAATTTACTGAAGCGTTTATTTTACATGCCATTTATATATTATTATTGTTTATAGCAGAGTTTACAAGGTTCTGTGCAAATTAAAAATTTAAAGTACTTGATTTCTATATTTTCCTTAATGTACGTGGAGTTAGTATTTCTTTTATTTAGTTACAGTCTTTGTTATCATAAAAGTTATAAAATGTTTGATTCTTTTTTTGTAGTTATTAAGATATTATTGAATTAATTCGAAAAATCGCACAAAATTTGTCTTGCATGTTAGTAAATCTTTGACAATAGAGATTTGATTTTAAAAATATTTCAGAAAATTAAGAATGATTTTTAAAAAATAGTTGTTGACGAAATACAAAAAAATTTGGCTAGGCGTACAAACTACTTGTTATTAAATATTTTCATTCACAAGTTCTTTTGCATTCCAATTAATGTTGTGTAACCTTATTTTATGTTTCGTGCATTCATTATGCTGCAAGCATACCATGAAATAGTCCCCTCTTTAAAAAGGCTGCCCAATAATATCGTACCTACAGAAGCAGTGCCTGTGATGTATCTGCAGTATCGCGTACAGTTCATGTCAAGTAACGCTCAACTTCGTCAAATATCTGCGATTGCATGTTTCACTGTAGTAGTATTACATCTATCATTATTAGTCTATAACGTAACCGGAAGAATATAAGTACTTAAATTCTTCTGAGTGATAAAAGAAGAGGTTATATTATTTCGTAGAATAACATTTTGGGTCAACGTCTATTTTTAAATGAAGAATTAGTTAAGTATTAATAAAAATTAAAATACTTGTCACATTTTCAATCGATCACTGTTGTACATTCATTTTTTATCAATGTTGTTTTTAAAGCATATATTAAAACTAACTGTTCTTTGTAATCATATTGCAATTGTATTTGGTAATAATGATTTGATAGCAAAAGAATAAGGTGAGTATTTCAAACTTTTAATTTTGATTTTAATGTATTATTTTATAAGAACTCTATAGGTATCATTAAAAATATCTATTGAAAACTTAGACACATTGTTATTAATTTCAAGTTAATAAATTAGAAGAGGTTTAAGTATATAATTTTTTTATTTCAGATTGAAAAGAAAAATCAGGTAAAAAAACTGATGTATTCACAGAGTATTTTTATATTATACTGATTATTTGTAGACTCATTTTTAGGATGATTTAATATAAAATACAAGAAACTTTTAAATTTTATCTCAGTCTATGTCTTTGAAATAAAAATAAAAAGATACAATTTTTTTTTAGAAAATTAATATATAATTTAACACAATATTTCAATAAAAGTTGAGACTTATCCGCTCTTTTTAATCCTTTGTAATTGTATTAATACGAACTTTTTAAATAGAAACAAGTATATATTGAACTTTGTTAAACATTAGTTAATCATATGATTAAGAAAATAACTAGATGATAATAACTTTTGAATTATTATTTATGAGAATATTAATATTTTCAATGTAATGTAATTAGGAACAGGAATGCGACTGATAAAAATAATCAGACCCATGTTTACTCCTACACTATGGTTAAAAAGGTAATAATTCATAATATAGTTGTTGAGATTTTGTTATGAATCAAAATTTACCTTTAACAAGATGACTATTTATCAATATATTGATATATTTAAGTTAATAAAAATAATTTTAATGTAAGGTGAGGGATAGAATCTTCATTTTTCTAATTAAAAACAATTGGGTACTTTATTTGTGATCTTTATTATAAATAGGTACTATTGTACCTATTATAGTATACAGCTTTATTTAAGAAATTATCTATGGAATGACTCATAGCTAAATTTATTAAAATTATATTCAAGGGTTAAAATTTATAGTCAAATTTAAAGGGTATAATGGATGTCAACCGTTTTTCTAGAACTTTATACTCGGACAAGACTTACGATAATATCCTGATGTTAAGATAGTGTATATTATCATTTTTTTTTCTGATAAATAATAAGGATTAAATGATAAAACAATGTATGTTAAACAATTATATTAAGATACAAACAGCGATGAAATTATTATTGTATTTAGAATATATAAATTAATATTTAAAACAGATAAATATCTTAAAACATCACTAAGTATTACAATTAAAGAGATTTAACAAACACGATAATTGTTCAAAATTGACATCATTGAGAAGAAAATGTTACTTTAACAAAAAATATTTTTCCAGCGATATCATCACAACGTACATAAATAATATGAATTTTGAAAGAGCTAACAACTTTAAATACTATAAACTAAAAATAAATTCGTTAAATAATAACCCTAAAATATTTCAAAAAAGAATAAATGTAGCCAAGAAACATATCAAGTACAATGACACAAATTGATCCGAGTTCTGAAATATGATAAAGAAGGTCATGCCATGAATTACGATATTTAACAGGGAGAGATTGCAATTGTTTGAGGAGATATAATATTGTTTAGAGAAAGTAGTAAAATTATAGAGATGGAGAAGAATAGGCAATTACAAAGAAAGGTTAAAATGTCTCTACTAAGTTAAAATGAAAAAAAAAGTAGTAATTTAAAAGTAACATGCACTAAGACTACATACTAGACATGATCTAGACTTGTGTGGTATATTATAAGGTAGTCATAGTTAGATATATTTATAAATAAGTAAACGTTCGACTTAGGTCAAGTAGACCATACCAAAGTATACTATTAGTTTATATTATACTATAAGTTTATAGTTGTGCGGGTTAGACTTTTAAGCATCAATTACATCTAAAATATCAACAATTAACACAATTCTGAGTTGATTTGAAGCTAAAAAACATTTTAATATTAAAGTTAACGAATATATGAAAAAACATTCTATCATATAAATTTTTCTGATTGGTTAAATAGAAATTTTAATTTCACCTGCATCCACATATATATTTGAATATTTAATTACTTTTTTTATTGTGTCGTTAATTTTTTTAAAATTGTGATTCATGCGATGATGGGCAACAGATGTAGGTTGATTAAACAGAAAACATTTTAGACACACGGATAAATTATTAAATTTTAAAACAATTAAATACATTAACTATAATTTCAAATTAAATGTTTATTTTTAGGATCGTTATAATTTTTTAAAATTTAACCTTTAGTTGTCTTAAAGTTGTCATCCACAGCGGATGACAGCAATAGGGGATTATGTTAATTAACATGTAAATTTTAATAACATAATATTTATATTAGTCTTAAAAATATTTGACTAAACTTCACTGTTTTCTTCTGTTAATGATCAGTACATTTATAGAAATTTATTTATTAATATTTCATTGTCTTAATTTAATAATTAAATTTTTATTTCAAAATATTATAAAAGATAATAGACGTATCCGTGTCGCTATTATTTTGTAGGATACATCAGTAACAGTTCAATAGCCTGACTACTATTTTAAGTTGAGAATAATTAAATAATACTGTTACTAACTGTATAGATACACACATCTGTCACTACACAAGTATATTATTATGAAAATATATTAAATAATGTGTCGTAAATAAACATATTCAAAGTCATAAAACCATACATTATAGTAGTCTCTGCTCTGTATCAAGGTTAAAAAATAAATTTTTTTAACCTTGATGCTGAATTGAAAATTTACACTAGTCTTTTGTAATCATAATAAAATGTATATAGCTGGTTATAATGGAGTTAAGCTGAATACATTGTTTTGTATAAGACAGTGTCTACTTAAACACGTGAACTATTAAATCAAACATCTTAATGAATCCTATTTTTTCGATATTCGATGGAACATTTTCGATGAATAATTTTAATCATAAAAAGTTACTTGAAAATCTAAAAATGCATTCTCTTTTGTGTAGAAGAAATTGTTTAGATGTTATATGGATTTATAATCTACTAAATAATAAAATCAATTGTCCCGAAATTTTAAACTTAATACCGATGAACCGTTCCTCAAGTATCTCTCCGTTCCTATCCAATGTTTTATATATCTATTCATACACAAAACTATAGTAGAAACGCTCCGGTAAATCGAATGTTGAATTTATGTAATAAAATAAATAATTTTGATTTTTATCATGATTCTTCAACATCATTATGGTCTATTTGTTGTAAAACGTTTAATTCATAATTACATACACTTTTTTAGCTAACTTGTTTGTAACGTATTTAGTATTATTGAATTTTTATAATCATTTAATTATAAAGTTAATTTCACTATGTACTATTTTTATATTGTATTTGTTTTTTTTTCTATGTTATTATCTGTACTACTTGCCTCACAGGCGTAATCATCCATTATGATGAAATAAATAAATAAATAAATAATCATCATAAATAGTCATCATAAATAGTTGATATTCATTTTTCCTAGACAAAAATTTTAAAACTTGTTTCGATAATAATCACCATTGAGCATAAAAAACACTAGAACAATATTCGATGAGTTCTACTGCCATAAATTATGCGCAAAGAGTATTATTAGGTGGAAATGAGCAAACAATAATTAAACTTTATAAAAAATAATTTTAAATTAAATATTATTTACGTACTTACCCGTTAATTGTAGTAATAATAAAATAGTAGAAAATAAAATTGTTTTATATTTTTCAACTCGCATGATTAATGATTAGTGCAAATTTTTTTAAGCGTTGTAGTCATTTGTTTTATCTGTTTGTGATCTTAATGGTTTTGTTAAATAAAATCCTATAATATTATTTATAGTTCTACTGTTTAATTGAAATTTACCACAAGAAAAAAATAATTTTAATCTTAGAAATTAATTTCGTGTTTACGTGAGCTTTTTAAAAAAGATTTTTTATGAATTATATTATACTGATATTACGTAATAAAATTTCAAATAATATTTTCGTTAAACTCATGTGTTAACACTTTCTTTTATGATCATATGAGTTAAGTTAAAATTTTAATTGTATGGTCTAAATTGTAAATCTTAAATAGTGGTGTATTTATAAAACATGTATTTATAGGATTTACAATCAATTTCAAAGTAAGCATATAATAATTTTAGAATAAATAAACTGATAATTTTAAAACCAGTCAATTAAAATAATCTTTCGAAATCACGATTGTTACGTTTATGAAGTGTATTTTTATTGTTTGTCTTTGAGCTTTTCTATGTAACACTAAAGTTAAATATAAAATCTTTGTTTACAAACATTATTGTAGTATTATTTTATGAACGTTAACTTAAAAACTACCTATTATAATTCTTGATAAGAGAAATACTTTAATTATTCACAGAAAAAGATTTCATTGCACACTAATATGCACGTATATACTAATATAAGTAATATTCTGTAGAAAATGCGCTAATACAATTTTCTCTGAATCGAATACACCACAAGTTGTCCAAAATACCACTCACTTTTTATCGTGTAGTTTCAAGTTGAAAGTTAATTGTGTTATTTAAATATGTAATCTGTCGTTTTTAATTTAATATAGTGCATTTGTGCAACAATTATAATATATTATAACGAGTCTAGTGAAATAATTTTGATGGTTATTTTTACTCATATTTATTATTCGCATTCACGAAATGTTTCATAATTTTTTATTTTACAGACTACTAAAAGAATAACATGAAGGTGTATATCTCACAGTTCATTAAGCCTCGAAGATGGCCAGTCACCTTAGAACCAATGCTGTTCCTTTTCTTTTTGTCCTACATGATTTCTATGATTGTAAACAGTAATATGGTTTACTGGAAAGGATGCAATTTAAATGTCACAGAAGAACCAGACATTGGTATCATAAAATGCGAGGGAGAAGACAAAGACAAGTCTCTAAAAGAAATGGCGTTAATCAACATATGGAAGTTGATTGCGCAAGAGATAATAGGTTTATCTTTTATTGTATTTGCGGGTCCTTGGAGCGATAATCACGGTTGCAGACGCCTTCCGCTTCTATTCTTACCTGTGATCGGTCAAATCACAGGCGATCTTCTCAACATCTTTTCCGCCGTTTACTGGAATGAAGTAACCCCTGCTGTCACAAGCATCGGATTTACGTTGGTAACCACAATTACCGGTTCCATGTCCTGTTTCTTCATAGGAATGTATTCATACCTGTCTGATATTACCGATAATACTAATAGAACCATGCGATTGGGTTTCGCTAGTGCTGTAGTACCTCTTGCTGCAACAATCGGTCCAATATTATCAGGCATCTTAAACGTAAAGATCGGATTCATAAACGTTTTCCTATTCAACATACTTTTAAACATATCTGGCCTGTGCTTTGGTATATTATTGATTTATGATTCGTCCGACCCCAATAAAGTAATCAAGTCTACTTTGAAGAGCACGTTTGATCCAAAAATCGTAAAGAATATTATTACCATAGTTTTGAAGGAAAGGAAAAATCATAAAAGAACCATCCTTCACTTGATGATGATTGCATCGGCAATAATTATGGCTCCATTCTTAGGTGAGTAATCACCAATAGGAAAAATACCCAAAAACTATACCTTGAAGTAAACACTGTAAAGTATAAAGCTTGTGTACAATTTTTAATAGTATTTTACATTATTCTATATTTTTGTTACGTTAGGGGAAATGTCAGTGATGCCTTCATATTTAAGAAAGACATTTAACTTTACTGAAATTTCTTTCAGCCAGTTCTATTCATACTTGATGGGAGTTATGTTGATCGGTAAGATAAGTTTATATTTCTAAACATTAACAATTACATGATAAATTTTTTAATAGAGTAGTGTTAATCTAACAATTCTTTTGATATTTCTGATGAACCCTTTCGACTAAATTTAAATACAAATTTTATTAGTCTCGATATAAGTTTAAATGATCACGATTGGGATGTATACAAATACAAATACTTTAGAGATTTAAATTTCCAATACGAGAATTTAGTGTATTAAATAATAAAATGAGTATTAGATTCACTCACAAATATCTTATTATAAAGATACTTTATTATTTATTAAAAAAAAATTAAATAGATAAATAAGACGAAAACTAAAATATTACAATGCAATGATATTTATTCGAAAGTAGCACATTCTAATAATATAAAAATATTACGAAGGCTTTAAAGAAACTACTAATTAGGAAAAAAAACAATGAGAAATTGCAACGATATAATTTTAAGATTAACTTTAAAAATGGATAAATGGTTTAAGACATACTGTTGTGGTTATTTTAAGCTCTTAAAAAAAAAAAATTAGCAGGCTCTATAATTCTATACAAATGTTTTAAAAACTTGTTCTTTAAAAATTAAATCACTTGAATTTAATAAATTATAGTTAATATTCATTATGTTTTATTACAGGCACAACAATATCATTAGGTATTTTCAGTCGTATTTTTCGTATGAATGATTCTTTAATCGGATTAATTGCTACAGTTTTTGATCTTGCAGCCGCTGTCGCCTTTTTCTTAGTAAGAGATGCGTGGCTTATAATGTTTGGTAAATATTTTACAGTTATTGAGTGTTTTGAATAAAATAATGTTAAAATTATATTTATCAACTTTTAACGTCTTAAAAAAATCTAGTTCTTAGAAACACTAGTAATACAGGACTTTGGTAAATTTTAGTAAATTTCTGTGAGGTATAATTATTTTAATTTGCGTATAGACCTAATATGTATCATTATTGTTGTTTCAATGGCGTGAAATAAAATAATTTGATACTTATTTTTATTGTGAAGGTTAAGTTATTTCATTATGTATTTGAATAAAGGTAGCAATTAACGTGTGGAAATTAAGCTAATATAGAAATTCAGAATAGAAAATTTGTTGTAAAATACAAATAGCTATTCTAAAATTTGCATTTTTTATATAAAAATCATACTTATGGTGTCAGGATTTTCGAAACATTTTTACAATTTAAGTTGAAAATATTAACTTGTCATAATATGACAAGTTTTATATTATAAAAGCTTCTTTTTAACCCCTTTCTGTGTATAGGTAAAGGTCGGATTTAAACATAAATAGATGACAAAAAAAAAAAAATATCTTAGATTTTTATAAACAAAAAAATTGTTTTAATTCATAAACTTTTTAAAAATGTTGTTAGGGGTTAGTTTAATACTTGAGTACGATCTTGGTCAAAACCAAGAATCGGAAGCTACCCTACGTCTTCCCAAATATCGTCCCTATCTCCTTAAATGAGTTTTAATTACCTGAAGGAGACACAGGCAATCGTGTACCTTAGTTACAGGGAATAGATTATTAATTATAGTTAGACTATTGTTTTATGACAAAGTAAAGTTATATTTTAGATGTTCAGTAAATATAAGTTATATGTCATGTACAATACGTCTGACCTGAATCCTAGTACAGTTGGTTAGTAGGTATATCCAAGTGAGACGGAGTTAGTTGGCTATGATGACAATTGGCGATAGACGGGTCGTTGAATAAAACAAGTTAAATTATAAATAATACGAAAGTAATAGTATTGAAAACTATGTCTATAACGGCCACTCAAACACAACTGCCCTTTGTTAGTTCGACTTCAGTAGCTCCGGGCTACAGACTAGTAGAATTGTCATATCAGCATCCCCCTCTATGCTAATTAATATGTATTACGACGAATTAAGTAAATGGAAATAAAACGTGTATAATATAAGTGGTAAGAACATAGTAATAAATGTTCTTACAATGTATACCAATTTAAGCTAAAAAAGTAAAAAAAATATCTATATTTGATGACTTAAAAAAATTATTTTTGAGGAATTTCTTCTATTTATGGGAATTCTTTTAAATGTACAGTTTTAACTAGATATAGTTAAATAGGAAATAGTATTACTATTTAAAATCAATATAGTGGGCGCTGAGCATTGGTGTCAGCAGACACAAAAAAAAAAAAAGTAAAATTAATACCTTCTCATCTTCGTATTAAAGTTTAAAAGTGTTTTAAATTAAATTTATTATAATTACTGTAACTATAATTGAAATTATTGAATTATTAAAATAAACATAATACTTTTAATTATAGTGAGTATATTTAATGAATCTTAACAAATTAATGTACTAATAAGTAAATAAATAGATAAGCACAATGTAGATATACAAAAATTTATTTGTTTTAATGTCATCTTGATCGTTCTATTAATGTATTAATTAGAGGTATATACTCATATTATTATACAAGGTAATCTATTTGGGGTAAGACACTCATTTCTCAGAATCTATTGAGAATTTTAAATTTAAAAAGAATAAATATTTGCATTAAAAGTTCTACAATATTATGTAATCTAATATTTATTTTTATCTCTTCAGAGATAAAAGCCTTTACTTTAATTTTCTTTAATAAAAACTCCAATTTTTAACTTGATAATATGATAGATAAAACAATTACAAGCAAATTTTTTCTTGTAATTTTATTTATCTGTCATATCAATAGTTCATCTGTTACAGCTGGTTAAAGTTCGGTAATTTGAGATCAATTTACTTATGATATATCATTTTTAAGGAATAAAAGAAGTTTTTATTTTTCGATTTTGACACATAGGCTATTTTTTATTGACTAAGGTATTATCCAACATACGGAAGTTTTATTTTTAATAATTCGTGTCTATTAATTGTCGGACGCTGGCGAGGACAATTTTTATTGTTAAGTATCATAAAAAATAATTTTTATTGCTACCACCTTTAGTATTAAGAAAATTAAATTAATGATTAACTTTTACATAAACCCAAATTTTTGAACAGTCATAAAACACAAATGGTTGATAGAATACATAAAAATGATAAGAACAAAATCTTATTTATTTTAATTGTTATAATTATTTTTTTTATCATATAAATTTAAAAAAATGGGTTCCCGTTAAAGAAAATTAAATTTTAGGTTTATTATCTCTGAAGGGATCATTCCAACAAATATGATTTAATTTCATAATATTATAGTTTTTTGAACCAATAACTTTTTTCTTTATAAAAATTTAAAAATGTTCAATAGATTCTGAGAAAACGAGTGTTTTGTTCAAATTCGATCACTTTGTAAATATATACACTCTAAAAACAATGTGTTTCGTGAGAATTTTCATGCCTGTAATGCACTTGAAATATGACCTATCAGAATTGGCTTATAGAGGACGTTACTATCTCAACAGATACACTTTTTGAGATTTAAATGAGGGAAATATAATTTGTTAAGCCAACATGCTCATAAGACGATCTAATAATATACATAATGTACATAATGGTGTTAAATAAGATATCATGAGTAAACTTTTTGATGATGGAAACAATTTAAATTATTAAATTTTTTATCTAAAAATAATTTTACTTTCATATTATTTTACATCAAATGGCATAAAACTTAAGTAATTCCATATTTTAATGAGTAGTTTTATTTTTAGTCGGGCAAATTTTATTTTCTATAAAGTATGCCAGTGGTCAAAATTTTTGTTTATATGTTATTTTTCTACATTAATTATTAACAAACAAATTTATATATATTTTGACAATTTTTGGGAATAAAAAGAGCAATATAAGTAATAAAAGATAAAGATAAAGTAATATTTTAAACATACTAATTACTTTTAAATAAAATTTATGAACTTTAATGAAAAAAATGAAGTCTTTTTCATGAAATAATTTATTTATTGTTTGTTTTGTAGTTCCATTATTACAACTTTTTAGAGGAGCATCACTCGCTATCCACGGAGCAATTGCTTCAAAATGTGTAGAACCGTATGAAATAGGTAATTAAAAATCTGAACTATGAGTAATATATAGTATAGTTATTAGTAAAAAGAAATCTATGGGTTATTTTTGGTGTATCAAGTTTTTTTTACTATCTAATCGATTTTTATAACTAGTAATATTTATTTGATTATAGGTATTAAATTTAAAACCAGTTAAAAAAAAAGTCTTTTTACCTGAAATTTCTTACTGGGTGACTGGATTTATCATCGACTACTCTATTTCTACTAAAACAATAATATTGGAAATATTTTTGGCTATTATTTTTGACAGTTATCTCTGGATCTAGGGTTCCTACAAGAAAGTGAGGGTTGCTAAATCCTCAGTTAAGGGGCCAAGATTTCGTTGCAATGTCCTTGTTTAATTATTATTAAATAAAATATTTAAATAATATTTTAGAATAAAAAAAATATTGAGTTTAATATCAAAGTTCAAAACTTAACAAAGGATGCCAATCTCGATTTATCCCTTAGTTCAATATTTCATAATAATTTTGATTATTTTAATTTTTTTTTAAAAATTGTAAATATTCAATAAAACAATTAAATAACTAAAAATGTATTAAGAAATCATATTGTACGTTTTGATAGTTGAGAATGGTACCTTCTTTACATTAATGGACACTAAACAAAATTTTCAATAATTTTATTATATCTTTTTTTTTACAGCGTCAATGAACTCTTTTAGATTAGTAATCGAAGGTTTGTTCAAAGCTCTTGTGTTACCTATGTATAACATGATATATTATGAAACATTAAACACATACCCTAGTGCATTCTTTTTATTGACCGTCGTTTTAACTATTCCATGTCTTTTCATATTTTCGTAAGTTTTCAACAATTAGTTCTTCTTTAAAGGTTCTTTTTAATTTATTATTTTTTTTTGTTTTAATAGAATTACTTACTATTTAACTCGGACTGAATCTGAAGAAAATTCTACTGAGAAGAATACAACGATTAAAACATAAAGCCATTGAATGTAAGTATTTCAAAAGTTCATGGTAATATTAGTTTAAAAATTCGTTTAATTAACTTTATTAAGAATTTTTGACGAATATTGAATAATTTTAATTAATTATTTTAGAACATATTTATAAAAAATTAACAGGGTTGCAAAAAAAAAAAAACAGTTTTATTTAAAAAACAAAACATACGTTTTTTTTGTTTTAGACAATTTTTTATATTCAAATAATTGATTTTTTAAAACTTTTTAAAAATATAATTCAATTATTTTATTAAATATCATTAATTTGTAAATATTCAAATTTTAAGTTCATTAAATTTTTCTGAAAAATAGCATCATAAAACAATTTTTTTGAAAATAATTTAAACATTAAGTCCTTTGTAAGACGAAATATATTTAAGGTATTTAATTATACAAGGTGATTTTTTATCATAACCCACTCAATTATTCACAAAATGAAAATAATATAAACATTTTATTTTGTTTTAATACATTTAGTTACATATTATTCTTGAGTTATTAGCTATGTAATATTTTTTAAGTTCAACCCTTATGCTTTGTAAGGGTGTCAACTTTGTTTTTTCAAATGGGAACACATATTTTGAATTTAATAAAATGTTTGAGGTTTTATTTTAACAGTAAATGGCATTTGAATTTTTGACAAACCTTTATTCCTTTATTATAAATAAAACTTTAAAGTTTCGCACTTTTATGTTAATATACTAGGGATATCAAATACACATAGCTAATTGATTTTTTTGATATTACTATCACAGATATGGAGCGTTTATTGTCAATTATGACTATCGACAGTATGTTTTTTGTATTGCCAGTAGCGTATTTGTATATAAGAACTCACAACAATATTCCTTACAACCACATTTTAATCATATCTGTTGGTGATAATGTCATAATTGACTATACATATACTAAGTATACGCTCCATATTTTCGAAAAGTAACATCATTAAAAAACAATTAGCTACTTGTATTTGCAATTCATTGTTTATTATACATGTAAATTATCTCAAAAATTTGAAACTTTAAAGATTTATATCTAATAAACGAATAAATCTCTGTTAAAAATTCAAATGCCATTTACTGTTAAAATAAAACATTTTTTTAAATCCAAAATATGTGTTCCCATTTGAGAAAACAAAGTTGACACCCTTACAAAGCATAAGGGTTGAACTTAAAAAGTATTACATAGCTAATAACTCAAGAATAATATGTAACTAAATGGTTCCAAAAAAAAAATTTATAATTATTAGCTTTGATGCGAAGCTGAGAAGGTATTAATTTTACTATAATGTGTTTTTTTTTTGCGTCTGTTACCACTTTTTCTCAGCTCTCGCCAAACCGATTTTTTTCAACGATTTGTCAAAATATCACAAATACTATCTAGTCGAAGACATTACCCACAAAAATTGAAATTATTTCCCTTGTTCCACGTAAATGAGGGAAATCTCCAAAAAAATTACAAATATAAAATTCACTAATTTTAGCTTCGATGCGAAGCTGAGAAGGTATTGGTTTTACTATGATGTGGTTTTTTTTTTTTTTTTTTTTTTTTTTTTTTTCTTTTTTGTGTCTGTTACCCCTTTTTCTCCGCTCTCACCGAACGGATTTCTTTCAACGATACGTCAAAAGATCACAAATCGTATCTAGTCGAAGACATTACCCTTCAAAATTGAAAAAATTTCCCTCGTTCCCCGTAAATGGGGGAAACCTCCAAAAAAATTACAAATTTAAAAATCGCTAATTTTCGAAATTTTTTCAATTTTTTTTACTAAAAACTGCCGTAACTTTTTCAAAAATGAACATATCAATATAATTTTTTTTTATATAGATGCTTGATGTCTTTACCTATCATTTGGTATATTTTTTTTGTAAATCTGACACTTAACCTGCCCACAGGGGGGGATTTAAAATGACAACTTTTTCACAAAAAATTAACTTTTTCAACTTAACTTTTGAAAATGTTCCGGAAGGTCTGACACTTTTATATATATCTTAAATTAAAGCTAATGTAATGTACTTTAATTTGAAAAAAAAAAATTTGACCTCTGGACTTGTCTTCATGGTGAAAACGGCTACCGAATGCTATTTTTGTGTGAAAATTTTCGATTTTATAATTTACATTTTTTACTTTAAAGTGCTATAACTTTTTAAAAAATGTATGGATCAATACAATTTTTTCATGAGAAGTAGTATTTATATACATCTTTCATTGGATATACTTTTTTTTTAAATCAGACTATTTCCCTATATACGGGGGGGCTACAAATATAAAAAATGCATATAGAAAGTAGAACTTTTTCAACTTAAATTTTGAAAATGTTCCGGAAGGTCTGACACTTTTATATATATCTTAAATTAAAGCTAATGTAATGTACTTTAATTTGAAAAAAAAAAATTTGACCTCTGGACTTGTCTTCATGGTGAAAACGGCTACCGAATGCTATTTTTGTGTGAAAATT